TCAATTCTTTAAGTGGCTCAGAAACCAAGCTAACACACTCGCATTAGCAATGAATCACACACAGCTGAAGGATTTGAAAGACCAGTGTCAGTAGAAGGTTTATTAAATCGCAGAAATGTAACCCAGGCTGCAAGCCTTGCAGAAATCGATGAAAAACAGACTAATAAATGCATGCGATCAATGCCATATCAAATAATTATTTCCATTCATATTGCTGGATTAAATTTAATCAATGTATTGCACATTTACTTCATGATTTTTTAGCCAGCAGCATCCTCACATAATTTACACAATTGAAAGGTAACAACGCATTCCTAAAGACATCAAACAAATTTGATCTTCAGAGATAGTAGCAACTGCAGATGCTGGAGAATCCGAGACAACAAGGTGCAGGGCTGGATGAACACAGCAGGCCAAGCAGCATCATAGGAGCAGAAAGGCTGACGTTTCGGGCCTAGACCCTTCATCAGAAAAACACATCAGAAAAAAATTTGATCTTCAAGCACCTTTACTATAGCAGATATCCCAAGGTGCTTCACTGGAGCATTATCACAAAAAGACTGACACAGCCATATAAAGAAGGTCTTAGGTGAAAAGCTTAACGAAAAAAAATGTTTAAAAAGCACCTTAAAGATTAAGGAGGGAAATGTAGGTTTTTTTTTCCAAATCTGTGATTTTTCATCAGAATTGGGCAATGTTGGAAATGTAACATATTTTGAGGAAATTAACATGGGGATGGTGGAGCGCAATGAAAAGGTGAGGTCTGCAACAGGGTGGAGTGTGAGAGAGATTAAATAATAAAAAGGCTCATGGTGTAAGGCCATGAGTAGTGGTGAGACAAGTCAAAACAAAAAGAAACAAAGCATATGTCTAGAAGCGTGATTGACATGATCATGAATAGTTGCCACCCAAAAGCAGAGAAGAGAACAAAAGGAGAGAAAAAGAGAGAAAACTTAGGGCCAAGAGAGATTGAAAGCAGTCACTAATGGTGGAGGGTTAAAATTTGCATGAACAAAAAGCAACAATTGGAGAAATTGAGGGCTTGTAGTTGGAGGAGGTTACAATGAGAAAGAGCATGAAGGTGAGATTTGAGAACAAGATTAAAATTTTAAAATTAAGGTGTTGCCTAACTGGGTGCCAATGTCAACAAATAGCACAGGTATGATAGGTGAGCAGGGCTTACTGTACTACAAGACACATGCAAAAAAGAAGACAGAATGATCTGGAGTTTACACAGAATGGAAGATGAGAGGCTAATCTAAGAATGTGTTGGAATAGTCTACTTTAAAAGGTAATAAAAACAGAGATGAGTCACAGAGTCACAGAGATCTACAGCATGGAAAAAGACCCTTCAGCTCATTGAGTCTGTGCCAGTCAAACTCCAGCACTTGGCTTATAGCCTGGTGTGCCTTGGCTTCGCAACCGCACACCTAAATACTTCTTAAATATTATGAGCATTTCTGCTCCACTGCCTTTACAGGCAGCAAGTTACATATGCTCACCACTCTCTGGGTGAAAATGGTTTTCCTCACATCTCCTCTAAATCTTACCGTAAATCCATAACCCTTGGTCACTGATCCCTCCATCAAAGGGAAAGGTTTCTTCCTGTTTATCCTGGCTAAGCCTCTCATAATTTATGTTTCCTCTCAATCTCCTGGCCTCTGAGGAAAACAACCCCTGTCCAAAGAAGGGTCCAGACTCAAAATGTCAGCTTTCCTGCTCCTCTGATGGTGTCTGGCCTGCTGTGTTCATCCAGCTCCACACCTTGTTATCCCTGTTTATCCAATCTCTCTTGATAAGTGAAAATCTCTAACCCAGGCAACATCCTTGTAAATTTTCTCTGCACCCTCTTGACCGTATTCAAGCATTGGCTGTCCTCCAGTCCTCTGGATGAGGCTTTGAAAAGATAGCCATTTGGCATCTGCAGAGTTGTGGATTTGGGCAATTATGCAGGTAGGCATAGTAAATCTTAATTTTTGTGAGGATGTAGATATGTGATTAGAAGCTTACCTGGGAGTTAAATGTAACACCAAGGTTGAAAGGGTCTGGTTGGTTCAGTTTTAGGCAGTTGTTAATGAGAGGGAATGTAATGAGAGTCAGAAGTTAGGGAAAAAAAATTGTGGCATGGACTGTAGACAATAACTTCAGCCTTCTCACTACTTCATCATTAAAGCACACTCCCCCAAATAAATGTGCTTTTAAAACATGCTATTGACAGCAATATTAATTCAAAGACAATCACATTTTTGAATGCTGGCAAACAGGAATAAAAAGAATTTACACAGTAATTTAAATGTATGTTAATAATCAAACAATGGCAGTATACCAAAGCAGCAGTTATATGGGCAAGATCTCAATTTATATTTATGCATGTCCATTTAATTTATTTTTAGCCAAGTCATCAACAATAGTTGGGTTTTTCATTTTGTTACAGAATTTTTATCCAAATGCAAATTATATTCACCATTTCTAAAAAAATATTTCCTTTGTAGTTAGTCCTCTCAATGCTTTTCTCTGGCTGGAGACAAGATGTAAGGTTTAAATGCCAAGTTCAGAGATGGTCAATACTTGATCAATCATACTGGCCATTAAAAACACATCTGTTTGTTAAACGACATACAAAACAAAAATTGTTTCCAGACTCATACACAATGCAAATCAGTAGTTGTGCATACAAAACTGAAGAAAGGGCAACAATAGATGTTGACAAATTGGTAACAGCACACATGAATAGGAAACCTAAAAATAAACAAATAGCAACGTAAGAAAACCCCAAAATAACTGGAAATAAAATCATCTCAATATTGTACCCATATCATCAGTTTATGTGTATAACAGATGAAGCCACAAAGCACAAATTAACACCTTCTAAGGCACAAAGTGACCTTCAGGCACAACACAGAAATAAAGAGCTAGACCACAGACAGATCAAAAATGAGGAGAATTTTAAACAAAAAGCTGTTGCAGGACTGAAACACAATGCAAATCAGCAAGCTTAAATTTAGCTAAAACCAGGAATATTGTTTAAAATATTCTTTTATTGTAGTTGAAACCCAAAGTTTACATACTATATAATAAGCAAACAAAACACAGGAGCTGAAAGATTTTTCAAGAGATTATTTTGCAGTAATTTTATTGATCTGACTTGCTTCTGTCATTATTAGATTTTATGTGTTTGATTCATTGCTTCCACCCATCCTCAGTCCTAGACAGAATGGTGGCATTAGACACCACTCACATTTGGTGTTTACGCACTGTCAGTTGGCTGTTTAAGGGAGATAAAATGTGAGCTAATCAGGTGCAAGTGTGACAAAAATAGGAATGTACGATACATTTAAGGCTAGGGGAGTGCCAGATAAGAAGTAAAAAAAGGGAGGCCAACATTTTACCAGATTGTTTCTTCAGCTTCAAGTAAGATCCTCTTCTCACACTTCAATCATGCAATTGCTGGAGCTTGGCTGAGCAGACTGGATGTTGCACCAATGTACACAGTAAAGGAAACTACACCAAGGTGCATTAGTTATGGATTCTATTAATTTTCTGTTAGAAGTTTTTAAATTCTTGTTCAAAGTTTTAAGAATTTGAATTTTTAAAATGGAAAAATAACTATCGTGAAAACTTACAATTCATGACCACAAGTAGACAGGACTATTGCAAGCACACTCTGGGACTTGGATAAGCACGACAGCTGCTTTCATAGCGAGGGTGCGGCCCATCAATCATAAATAGTGCAAGCAAACTGTCCTCGCAGCAAACACAATGCCATCTGAACTCATAAGCCATCATTTTGAATAAGGAATGACAAATGAAAGGAACTGTTGCGAACTGAAATACCAGCTTTTCTTAAATCACATGAAAATTATTGCATTAGACTTCTAATACTATTTTTGCTCGTTTTACTCTCGTGAAAAGATTAAATCGAAAGTCTTCATTTTAGTTGCAATATTTTCAGCAAAACTTACATATTGTATAATTGTGAGTTATTGCTTCCGTCATTCAAATCACAGAATAAATGATTGGGATGATATCCACACTCATTTTAGAGCTTCCACAAATACAAACTCTTTGTAACTTGCAGTTTTTCCATGGGATTTTATAAGGATAATTTTATGGCCATTATTTAAATTTCCTTTTACTATACGCAAATGCAGACTCGCAAGACAAAACTTGCAAGTCAGAAATGGAGAATGTTTTGCAACATGAATGGTCAATCGTAGTTATGATTCGGAACGGCTGACAGAAAGACGTAAAACGAGAAGCAGTAGTTACTTTTAAACAGCATTGGAAGTAACATGTTTATGAAACCTTCCATAGAAACAGGCGGTTGTATTATAAAATACCATCATAAAAGAGCCGTCCCAGGAATAACAGATATGAAAACAGGAAGATAAAAAGAACTTGCAAAAAAAGTTCAAGTCTGCAACATAAAGAAGTCTTTCAGTTAATGTTTGCAGATCATAAACCACCTACATTATATGACTTTCTGAACAGATTTCTGCCCTACATTTATTACACCTGTGTGTAACTGTACATGTGAACCACCCTGGCTCCAAGGAATACGTTTGTTCTAGAGGGAGGAGGTAAAATCTCATTGAACGGGAAAGCGTGGGATGGCGGTTAAGGGAAAGGTTGGAACCAGTCAGGAAAGTGGGAACAAAGTGATTTATCTACGTGCATCAGCTTGTCCCTAAAAGAACGTGAAATGAGAGCGTTAAACAGGCTTCACGTATGATGGAAAAATAAACAGACAGATCAGTCAAACTCAATGCCCGAGTCGAGCATCAAAATGTTGTCTTTGTGTTGCCCAAATGAAACGCAAAATTAGATTTCACAATGTCAGGTTTGAGACTGGATGCTGAATGTTTGTCTCCCCTTTCAAACATTTCCGTGGGGTCCTTCGCCCAACAGTTTGCTACTAACTTTGTGACATTTCTTACCCACCTATTGAAACAAAGCCACTGTCACAAATAGGCAGACAACACTGAGCCTGGTGTACTCACCGCTCTGAAAACCTGGCTCCATGGCTGTGCCTGGGGCCTTCCGCTCCTAATCCCGATCCTTCTCAGCAAACCCAGGCGCTTGTATTGGAGGCAGTGGCAGTGATATAAACAAGCCGCCCGTACTGCAACACCTACTGACTACAGCAATAAATACATCCTGACTGGCCCAGCTGAAATGTCACCTACTCTTTCCTTGAGGACATTTTTAAATGTACAAGGCCTCCTGAACGACCAGGCAATTCTTCCTTATGTGGTCATCTTTGCAAATCTCACAGTTTAAGAAAGACGGCCTGGTGTCGACCATCTTAACTTGTATTTCCTTCCTCTTCTGCACTTGCAAGCTGTTCCTCCTCCAGGCGCTGTAGGTCGATCGACGAGCTACATACTGCAGAGTGACTTTTATGATATCCTGTGGCATGTAGACGCGGTTTTCTATTTGTTGTAATCTGTCGAAGTAAACACAGTCCCTGGTGTTGGAAGCTACATTCTGCGCCAGCCTTTCTAGTTATTGCGATTCAAACATGTTGACTGCAGGGAGCTTGTTGGTCCTTCCCCAAGCTCGCTTTTATTTGGGTTGCTCCGGCTGTTTGCATGTTGCTGTTTTATAGTGGTTAGCTGTGAATTTACCCAACTACACAAATTATTAAGCTTCACTCTGTCCTTGCCTGACTTCACGGGTGATCTGTAATTCCTGGCTGTTTTATACCAAAAAGATTTGCAGCATATTCATGAACCCTCGATCTTCTTTGTTCTACATCGCTGAACACCACATCGTGCATCACTGAGTCAAAATTATTAAAAGGCAAATCTTGCAGTAATCAAATGTATTATACAAGTGCTCTTGTATACTTTACATTATTTGTAAAGTTCTCCAATGAAAGTCTCAAAAAGACCAGATTCGGAATTACACTCAGCAATATTACGAACCAAATACTTCTCATACTAATATTCTAACGCATTTCTTCCATACTCGAATGTTTTCATTTTCAGATATTTTGCAAGGCAGCAAGTTGTTAGGAATAAAGAGTTCAGAATCAGGAATGCCAAACAGTAATGTGCGGATAAATCGAAATGTAATAAAACAAACAGGAAGATACTTCACGCCATAAAGTGAACTTTACATTTCTAAAGCTAAAAGAGGTAGGTTTTAATGATCTGAGAGTAGAATATCTCCTAAGGAACAGTGACTATAAACATGGTAAAATTTAACATTCAGTTTGTGAGTGAGAAATTTGGGTTGGAAACAACTGTGCTATACTGCCACACAGGTAATTACAAAGGAATGAGCACGTGTCCGCATTTCTCAGAAGGTTAATCAGATCATGTAGAGTTGCATGGGAACATTTAAAAAACTTTCCAGAACAGGATGCAAGAGTGGAAGGATAAACACATGACAACCAGAATTTTTAAAGCAGGAGATGAAGTTTTGGTACTGTTGCCTTTGCAAGGTTAGTCATTTAAAGCAAAATTCAGTCATCCCTACGAAATAATTAAAAGGGTTAGTGACGTGACATATTTAATTGATACTCCTGATCATAGGGAAAAAATCGATTATCATATGAAGATGTTAAAATGACACTAGCAGAGAAGGCAATGAGAATATACAGAAGTGTGAAGTATCAAGTGCAGTAGAGGAGGAAATAAGAAAGAAGAAGAGCCAAAGAGAATTGGAGAAATCGCAAAAAGAACTTCCTCCTATGAGATTAATAAATTTGGAGATATTAGAGAACATAGACACTGTATTTTCATATCTGGAGACAGATCAACAGAGAGATAAAGTGAGATTCCTCAAAAAATACAAAGAAGTTTATTACGATAAATTGGCTGTACCACACTAACCGAACATGACGTGGATGTAAGATAACAAGGTGTAGAGCTGGATGAACACAGCGGGCCAAGCAGCATCATAGGAGCAGGAAGGCTGACATTTCGGGCCTAGACCCTTTCTGATGAAGGGTCTAGGCC